TTTAAAGGGTTAAAGTTCTGACAATTTAGGATGAAATACAGAGAAACACAGAAGAAATGCAGCAGCTGCAGTTGTCAAACGTCCTGGACTTACAGATCTCCTAGTGTGAGCCTTCATGTGGATTCTCTGAATCACTGCTAGAGGGATGGACACCATTGGTCCAAAATTATCCCCATATCCTGTGTTTTGATGGTGGTGGTTGGTCCAAAATCTTCTATAGATGTTCAGCTGGGCTGTTAAAGCCACAGCATACGATTCACATCACATCTGACTGGCCGTGTGATCCCTGGTGCTATATTCCTCCTGGGAAAAATGCATTCCTACTTTCTCATTCTCTGCCTTACTAATTGTTGAGGAAAGAACCCTCAGTCACCCATGAAACAGCTTATAAATTCATTATATTTGATCTCTAATCGAATCCAGTAGTTTTGCTCTCATTTTAGTAAGAATATATTTTAAAAATATAGAGCTTATGTGTGGGACTTGAATCATGGCAGCAAAATGACGTTTTCACCTTTCAAAAGTGGAAAATGTTAACTTCACGCACATGGACACAAATGAATTGATGCTAGACCGGTCTGATACAGAATAATGTTCAAGTAAATGAAGACAAGTGTCCATAAACACTAATTAATTGATTTAATTTTACGACTACGTCAACCAGTACTGATTTCCCTGCAGCAGAGAAGCAGCGGCCACTTAACAAGACGGTGATTAATCTCCAGAAACGCTGACCATGTGGTGGCGAGTCACGTTTACACCGATTATCAGCCTTCAAATATTCACGTCATAACAATGGCAGCCAAGACATAACTGAACTCTTCCTGTTGTATTGCAGTCCCTTTATTTCCTCTCTGACTGACACAGGCGTGCACCAGTATCGTGCCAGCCAAATCCGACCAATAGGAGTGAAGGACGGGGGTCACAGAAAACCAGCAGTGAGAACTCGAGCTCCAAGGAAAGCAAAGCAACAGAAAATAAATACATTTTTTAAAGAGATGCTTTGAAACTCCTCCGAGGAGCCTTTGATATGCAAAGAGCCACTGTTTGAATTGACTTCTCTAACAGGCTTTCATTGTGCCAGAAGAAAAAAAAAAACCAAGTGGCACTTTTCAGAAAAACCATTCCTCTGCATCCAAACACACGCTTACATCAGACGCTGTAAACTCCTGCTGCATTCAGCCGCGTACACACAGGAGGCGAGTTTGCAGAGTTCGCTGTCAGCTCGGAGCTGCAGGAGATGAAACAATCAAACTGCAGCTCTGCACATTTGGCACACGCTGAGAGCGGAGACACATTTCACTGTTCACACAAGGAGCGAAAATATGGCGTTACCATCGCATGTTGTAACAGCGCTGTATTCATAAAAACGTGTAGAATATACAGTGTCAGATGTGACTGGACTTTTAAATACATAATAGTATGTATTATAATAATTGTAATATATAATTTATGACCTGAATGTCCATGAAATCAAAAGGAAATTGTCAAGTTTGTGTTTAACGTTCTTGAGTGCACTCAATCACAGCCAGACAAGCACACGAGACTTTAATCAGTCTATTCAACTCAATTTTATTCTATTTATACAGCCCCAAATCACAACAACAGTCGCCTCAAGATGCTTTAGATTGTAAGGTAGACCCAACAATCATATGATGAGCAGCACTTTGGCGACAGTGGGAAGGAAAAACTCCCTTTTAACAGGAAGAAACCTCCGACAGAACCAGGCTCAGGGAGGGGCGGGGCCATCTGCTGCGACCATTTATAACATACTTATTACATTATTTACAAATAACAAAGAAGGGAAGAGAACAACTGCAGTAAATAAAAACAAAGGAAGCCAAACAGGAAGAAACTAAACGAGACGAAGGAGAAAACAGACACTGATGCATCACACGCGGTCGACAGCTTCTATAAATGTCTTTTAAACGCTTCAAGTTCTATGCTAAATTAAGTCCTCATTATCTCTATTATCTCTGCACGGTTTTGAAATGGCTTGGTGATGTGTTTAACATGAAATCTTAAGCTAACTGTTTGGCTAACTGTTCGCCTTCTCCAGTTATCCCGATGAAACGTGAAGCTCGACGGCCTGGAGCAGAAGCTGTAGGAAGGCGCCTTTCGCTTTGTGATGGAGGAACAACGATTCCTCGCTAAGCGGCATGTTTGTGGTGCTGGGTGTTGACACAAAAAGCTCGTCCGATCAAAGCAATCTGGGAATGCACTCTTAATCCCCCTCCCATCATCATGCA